GAATATACATATAAGGTTTAGAGGATCCACTCTCCTATGCGATGTAGGATGTTACAATCCACCCCCTTAGGGGCCCAACCTCTTCGTCGACACACTTTCTGCTAGGGATTGGCTCTAATACCAAATTGTCACATCCCGGTCCAGGCCCCCACCAATCCCAGGCTCGACTTCGCCGTAGAACGATATTGTTCGTTTTTTGCCCCGACCACGGCCTCACGATTTTGTTTCTGGGAACTCACACGAGAACTTCTCAGTGGGTCACCCATCCTAGGATTGCTCTCGCGTGAACTCGCTTAACTTCAGAGTTCCTATGGAACTTGAAGCCAGTGAGCTCCCAAAAGGCCTCGTGCTAGGTAGAGATGGAAATATACATATATGGCTTAGAGGATCCACTCCCTTGGGCGATGTGGGATATTATAATCCACCCCCCTTAGGGGCCCAACGTCCTCGTCGACACACTTTCAGCCATGGATTAGCTTTGATACTAAATTGTCACATCCTTGCCCGGGCCCTCACCACATCACGGGCTCGACTCCGTCGTAGCACGATATTGTCCGTTTTGGGCCTCAACCATGTCCTCATGATTTTGTTTTTGGGAACCTACACGAGAACTTCCAGTAAGTCACCCATCTTGGGATTGGTCTCACACGAACTCGCTTAACTTTGGAGTTCCCATGGAACCCGAAGCCAATGAGTTCCCAAAAGGCCTCGTGCTAAGTAGATATAGGAATGTACATATAAGGCATAAAGGATCCACTCCCTTGGACGATGTAGGATGTTACAATCCACCCCCTTAGGGGCCCGACCTCCTCGTCGGCACACTTCCTGCTAAGGATTGGCTCTAATACCAAATTGTCACATCCCAGTCCAGGCCCCCACCACATCCCGGGCTCGACTCTACCGTAGCACGATATTGTTCGCTTTTGGCCTCGACCATGCCTTCACAGTTTTGTTTCTAGAAACTCACATGAGAACTTCCCAATGGGTCACCCATTCTGGGATTGCTCTCGCGCGAACTCGCTTAACTTCGGAGTTCCTATGGAACCCGAAGCCAGTGAGCTCCCAAAAGACCTCATGCTAGGTAGATATGGGAATATACATATAAGGCTTAGAGAATCCACTCCTTTGGGCAATGTGGGATGTTACAATCCACCCATTTAGGGGCCCGACGTCCTCGTCAGCGTACTTCCGACTAGGGATTGTCACATCCCGGCCCGGGCCCCCACCACATCCCGTGCTCGACTCCATCGTAGCTCGATATTGTCCGCTTTAGGCCCCGACCATGCCTTCATGGTTTTGTTTCTAGTAACTCAAGCGAGAACTTCATGTAGGTCACCCATCCTAGGATTGCTCTCGCGTGAACTCGCTTAACTTCGAAGTTTCTATGGAACCCGAAGCCAGTAAGCTCCCAAAAGGCCTCATGCTAGGTAGAGATGAGAATATACATATAAGGCTTAAAGGATCTATTCCCTCGGGCGATGTGGGATGTTACACCCATGCCCATGGCCTTCTTCATGAAATACCTAGTCATTCCTCCCTTCTTTTCCACTTTCTTTTCATGAGATACCCAAATCAAACTGAACCCTTGGTATTTCTAATCAATATTACACAACAGATTGATTTCGTGATAGATAAGGGAATGGCTTCTTTGAAGGCTTCATGCACCATGCCAGTCTAAAATGATCGGTGATAGCTACTATCATATTGCAGATATTATCTCTTATCTCGTAAATGCGAGCTCTGTACTCACCTCATAAACCCAGCGCTCAATAGCAGCCTCTATGCATTTTATTACTCTTTCATTCTCACTCTCAGTACACAAGGCATCCCTGTCGCTGTATTGAGTGAAATAATCCTATGAAAAGAACATTCGTTAGTTAATTAGTCTCCATTAACAAGTTTAAACTACATTGTGATCAATTTATAAACAAAATGCAAAGAAAATTTTAGAATCTCACCCAAGTGACTGCTTGGTATGCTTCGCCACTTCTAATCGAAACTCTAAACGACCAAAATGAGATGCAGAGACTCACTTAATGACCCCAATCAAATAGCTTAGATGAGTAATTTTACTTTCTCAATATTTGTTTGCCAAGGGAATTTAAGAATCCTTACAAAAGGTGCTATAATCAAGCATCATGTTTTTAGAACCCTAAAAAATGCCATTCGAATTAAAATCTTAAATACTCATTCCCAATTTATTAACATTACAAGAAATGGCGTTTTTTCTCTTCTCTGTCTTGCTCTCAAATTTGTTTAGAACCCAAATCATATATCAAATTTACACATCAAATTTGAAGCCCAAAATCATATTAGAAATCTTGTGATGAAATCTGAATGTTGAGACAAAATCGGCTCTTTTGAGAATGCCAAAGACATGTTTGATGAAAATCCCCAAAGGACTATCTACACACAAATAACCCAAATGCTCCAAATGCTTATTGGCGTTATACCAACAGTTATGGTAACTCTGGTATATGTATGGTGGTGGCTGTAGATTTATGTCCACAACTCATTCTTCTAGGATTGAATGCTCATGTGGAGACATTATGAAGGTCAAGCCTTTCTACACGATGTTTAATGCTAATTTACAGGGTAGGAAGGTTTCTTTCTTTAGATTGGCTGATATTAAAGATCGTGTCAAATGGATTACCGACTCTAGAACTCGTATGTTGGATCCCTTTTTAAAAATGAGGTATAATTGATGAAGGTGAAGAAAATTTCATTTGCATTGAAAGAGTGTGCCCTTTACGTGAATATTTGGCAGGAAGAAACCTCTATAAAACAAATAATCCTTACGCCTTTAATTCTATATTTATAATTGTGGTAAAGACTTTACTAAAAATGGTCTCTGTCTTTTAAGCTACTAGTGGCCATTTTAACATTGACTTGGAAAATTTATTTTGGACAGGAGCACTGTAATGGTTATATACCGTAAAGTGACAGTGGTTTAGGTGATGATGTTGATATAGTTGGTTAATAGATGGTGCTCAAGAGACTGTTTAAAGGGGCACTTCCTTCTCTATAAATAACATATCAATTTTATCAATTTTACATCTGATACAGGGGCTGATGAAGTAAAACATGAATTTTCTAAGAGCAATAAAAGCGATCTAACAAAACTCTAGATTGAAACTCTAATTTGAATATAATCAAAACCTGAACAAAATTCGAAATTCAACTCCAACTTCCTTGGCATCATTGTTTTTTTCAGCAACAATCTTTGACATTCTAAACTACTAAAAATGAATGCAAATTTACCCAATCAGAATCCGAAGCAAATCGATTGAACAACGTAAACATTTGTGGACATGAAATGATGGTTGGGCTTGAGGTAGCAAGTGATGGCTTATATTGAGTTTTCTATTATTCCATTGTCAGCAGCACCTAGTAAAAATCTAGACAGATGATAGACCAATGACCTTCAAATTTAAAATAATACAAACCCATCATTTCCAACTAAATCAAATTCACTGCAACAAATTTAGTACTATCGTTACATGTAGGGTAAAAAAACTGAAGTTGAACCAACCAATGAAGCCCCTTTCTTTTCAATTCTTAATGCACACCATAATTTAGGGTTTTTTTTTATTGTTTTCTTTTTCTCTTTTCACCTATGCTAATTTATTTGTTTTTGTTTTTGGAAAACAGATCTCAATAAGCGTTTCTAGGCTGGGCACATTCTTTCTCATAACGGCCCAATGAGCCCTGCCCAAAGTCTCCTCAAACTATGGGTTTTATCCTATCTTGGATTTTTACTATGGTGAGGTTTTTGAGTTTTAACTTTTATGCACTCCTTAAGTTTGTTTTGAGACTCATATTCGCTCATTTTGCCAACTAGACGAGACAACTTTATCAACTGCTTATACATCATCTATCAAGATTTGATGGGACAACCACTTGAGCATTTATACACTCAAGAGTGTTGTGACATAAATAGTACATGTGTGATTGTATAAATCCTTAGTAACATTGTTTTACTCTTTATGTTGAGGCAGAGCCCTTAAAAGGAAAGGATCCCCAACTTTTTTTTTTTTTTAAATGAGGATTAATCGTGGGCCCACTCCACATTGAACTTCAACAATCTGAACTATCCATTTTTTAAGTTGCACATTAAAGATCATCTTTGCAGATTATTAACCAAATCGGAAATATTTGAGGCGTGTAATTTAATTTAAAGAAATTGACGAACACTATATTTTAAGAAAAAATGAAATTTTATCGTGACAATTAAATAGGACAAATGGTTAAGAAGGAATTGAATTCTTTCAAAGATATCTTTATCAAGATATACAGAATAAATTGTTCAAATCATTAAAGTTTGAGGTGGAGTTGGTCCCACGACTGATCCCCATTAAAAAAAAACAAATTGTGATCCATTCCCTTGAAGGTTCTATATGTTAGTGACTCTTTTCCAATAGAAATTGCATTACCTAGGGAGCAATGTTCTCTCTCCTCATAATGTACCATAAATAAAGTCATAAGCAATGGAAGATACGCATCCTAAAAATTTCTTAATTCTCTCTCTCTTTGACACACCCTTTCACAAAAATAGGCCACAACAATCATATGTATCATGTTTTCTTTTAATACTTAATATTGAGGGATATAAGAGGTAAATTATTGAAATTGAGTATAAAAGATTTGTTTTTAATTTTTAATTTTTAACAAATGATGTTAGAAAGGGTAGGCTAAGCTTTATAATGGTCAAATTTGTTTTTAGTGATAATCGAATTTAAAATCTCTAATTTACTAATCAAGAGTATGAAAGTTTAATAATTATAAAAATAAAATTTAATGATTTAAACACTTACATCACCCTTGTCAAAAAAAAAAAAAAAAAAAAACACTTACATCACCTAATATTAGGATTTATGACATAAACTTTAATTTAACTGCCACGTAGCATGGAAATTGAACTTAAATTATCAAATGAGAAATATTAACATCTAGAGAGAGAAAGTTGAAACAACGCAAGCATTTATATAACCTTTTTAGAGAGAGAAAGGGCAGCGATTGGTGGAGAGAGTTTGATATGTTTTTAGTGTTTGTTTGGGGCTTGGAGATTGTCTCCGTCCCGTTTCTCTCTGTTCCTCCCCCTCGAAAACCCTTTCCTTATTCTTCCCTCCGCTAGAGAGAGAAAGATAAAACCTAGAAATTATTTTCTGGAGGAAATTTGGCGGAAATTTCCAGGAGCTGAGGATCCGAGCTAGGGTTTCGGGTGTGAATATCCGGGTTTTTCTGGGTGCAAGGTGATGTTGGGATTGCGGTAACTGGATCGAAATGTTGGTTAGGAATGCAAATTTGTTGGAATTCTAGTTCCGATCTTGAAATTACGGCGCGAATCGAAGGCTCGAAGCAATGGATGTGGACTCATCGTCGATGGTGCCGGACACTGATCACGATCCGGCAGTGCCAAACCACAGTACGACGTCGTCTCAGGCCGCAGTAGAAGGGGAACAACAGCTTGGCGAGCAGGCGCAACCGGGAACTGGATCTCCTCCGCAGCAGCCTCAGACAGCGGCTGCTCCACAGGCACCACAGACTCCGGTGGCGGGACCGCGGCACGCCCCAACGTACTCGGTGGTCAATGCAATTTTAGAGAAAAAAGAGGATGGTCCAGGGCCAAGATGTGGCCACACGTTGACTGCGGTGGCGGCTGTGGGCGAGGAGGGCACGCCGGGCTACTTTGGCCCCAGGTTGATTTTATTTGGTGGTGCCACAGCTCTTGAGGGCAATTCGGCGGCTTCAGGGACTCCATCATCAGCTGGAAGTGCCGGCATAAGTATGTTATTTTCTTTGTTTACTTGGGTAGCTTCGTCATTTGAGCTCCTATGATAAGCCTAGCTGCATGGAAGCCCTAATAGTAATGGTTCTGTAATGATAAGTACTTTATCAACCTAGCTTTGTTAGTTTCAGATTGCTGTTTTTCGTTCTTCTTTGATGTTTACGTTTATTGTGTGGTTATAAAATGCTGTGGGGTAGAATTCAAAGTTGTAGTTGGTTAAATTTTCTGTGAAAAGACCTTGTTATGTTCAGGTTCTTTAATCTCAGGTTGTCTTTATGTGTCTGCTTCCATATTGTTAATGATACAAGCACTGTCATCCGATCCAGGAAACAAAAAACTACTTGTAATTAAAGTGAAATATCGGTCTTGGGCTGATTTGATGCTACAGCGATTCAAGTTGTTAGTTATTATCTTGATAAGAGTTTTAGAATGCTTTGTTGTTTCAAGCCTCTCATTTCTCTTTGCCCTGCTCTTGTTCATTCTTGATAAATTGCTTTTGTGTGATACAAATTTGCCAGTTATTTATTGCCAGTGATTTGAGTGGTGTGGTAGTTTTGTTGTAGCCCAACAAATATGCATGTATTTTTTTTCTTTCAGTTATTGTTGTGGTTTCACAAACTTACTCTCTTTTGAACTAAAAGTGATCAAGTGGCATCTATCTAATGCCATTGGAGCTTGAAATCTCTGTGTTTATTGTTTTCAAATCGCGTCTAAATCCCTGTCTCCTAATGGTTATTTTTTAGCATCCATAGTTTCTGCTTTGAGCTTCTAGGGTTCAGCTAGCATTTATGTATGGTGTGAAGGTGCTGAGCCATTTAAGTTGTTGTTCTTTCTGTTATATTCAACGGTCCAAATAATCATGAGGCCTAACCTAATCCACATCTTGATTAATTCTTTGCTTGTAATGAAGCTCATGAGAATAATCATTCATTTCATTTTAAATAATTTAATTTATGAAACTTGTTTGTTCTTAATTTCAGGACTTGCAGGTGCCACAGCGGACGTGCATTGTTATGACGTGCTAACAAATAAATGGTCTAGGTAAGCCTGGGAATGAATATCTTTTATCTTTTTAGCCATTGGCTGTCCATATTTTCTTATTTATCCTAAGTTTACTTTAGTGGGTACATTATTATGACGTGTATTGCAGGATCACACCCTTTGGAGAACCTCCCACCCCAAGGGCTGCACATGTAGCAACAGCTGTAGGAACTATGGTGGTTATTCAGGTCAGCACTCAATATTATATCTTACAAGTTATGGTTCCCAAGTCAATGCCGTGTTAGAATTTTTCTATACTTTTCATAATTACATTCCCACTGGAATCTTTCATATCAATACAGGGTGGAATTGGTCCTGCTGGTTTGTCTGCTGAGGATCTTCATGTTCTTGACCTCACACAGCAACGGCCTCGATGGCACAGGTTATACTTGAATTGTCTGCGTTCCTTTAAAAAATAAAATGTATTGTGTGATTTTTAACCAAGTGGAGCTAATTTAACTTTAGGGTTGTTGTTCAAGGCCCTGGACCTGGGCCACGCTATGGACATGTGATGGCATTAGTGGGGCAAAGATATCTTATGGCAATTGGTGGTAATGATGGTGAGTCACTTCAGGGTCTATCTTACTCTCTTTGACGCATTGAATTAAAGGGAAGAAAGGAACTTCATGCATAGATTTTTACAAATATTAAGAGAAGGGAATTGGTGTGTGGTTTTCAGGAAAACGGCCTTTAGCTGATGTTTGGGCTCTCGACACAGCTGCCAAACCTTATGAATGGCGTAAGTTGGAACCAGAGGGGGAGGGTCCACCACCATGCATGTAAATCTTTCATGCTCTCCCTCTTTAACACTCATGACACTCAAATTCTTATTATAACACATATACATGCACTTCTCACCATTTGGTATGTATGTAAAAGATCA